GATCGGCACACCTCTACTAGCTAGATTTTTTTTGTTTGCTAATGGGAGGATGAGGCTCATTTTCACCACAATTATTTTCTTGTCTGTACCAGATTTCTTTCTTTTGACCTATCCGCTTATCAAACTGTTTCCTTCCACTCATTTGAAGCCCCTTCCTTTGACATTTTATTTTCTTCTTTGTTGCTCTTTTTCAGACGATGTTGTGTCAAATTATTTCACCAAGGGCAAGCGAGGCAAGAGGTCTGGGATCCTCCTCATATTCTCCTTCCTCAAGGAGGCGGTACTGCCCAGCCGACAGAAAATGTACTGACGGGCTCGGATTCGGGGGGGCCGGGGATGTGTAGGTGTGTGGAGAAGTTGGACAACAAGCGGTAGAGCAAGGACGTCGGAAGTCCTTTGTGGATTGGACTGAAGCAAAGCAGTGGCCAAAACATGGAGGAAAGCGCACAAAAAGGATGGACCAATAAACAGACTGGATGATTAATTGAGTTTACAAAGGCCATGTTCATCTTTGGGTTTGTTCCGACTGCCAAGAGCACCTCTGTGAGACCTTTTTTTGGGGGATCATGACTGTAGCGCAGTGATTTTTGTATCATCAACATATTTTTTAAGCTTTAGTATCAAAGCAATTCTGAGAGAGGGGTTTAAAATACTAACTGACAAACTTGTTGCAGATGGATAAATCATAATTGGATTTCCTTTTAAAGATTTATTCTTGTCATTTTTGTGTTTGTCTGATTAAGTCTTCAAGGTAGCACCAAAGTCACGCAGAGGGGTGAAATGTTTTCCACAAAATGAGTAAAATAGATCAGAGAGAGCAATGGCATGAAAAGCGGTAATCTTAGAAAGCACAGCAAAAAAAACATGTGAAACAACTCGGCTGCTGAAACTAACAAGAAATCCAGCAATCACTTTTAAAGGTTACTTGAAAATCTGCGAGGGAGTTCTCAAATAAATATTATGACTTTTATTCCAGTGATCAGGTGTAACCTCATACAAATATACTTTGTAACTTTACTTCCTATAAAATCGGTCACATAGATGCATATTCCAGGTCTAAATTTAATCTTAAATTTCAACACATCACTTTGCTCTGGATCAGTTAAACTGGGTGTTTAATTTGTCAATTTGCAGTTTTGGTTTTGTACCGCAGAATTGTTTTCTGGACGACACAAATGTTTCGTTCATTTGTGCCCGTAACGGGAGCGGTTCGTATCGACAGCGCTTCAGTTTGCACCAGCATTCAGGATGTTAATCCCTCGTTTCCAAAGCGCGGGTCGTTGAGGCTTGGTGTCCGTCGTACTGTAAAAATAGTTTGGCGGATTCAGGAGTCTTTCCGCCACGTGTTGCGTGATGCCAGAAGCTTCACCTTAACCGTACCATCATCCGATGAAACCTACAACCTGCGAGGCGCACCAGGAGTAGTGTGTTCTGAAAACAGACACGTACCGAACCGCACCACTCGTTGCAAACGAGGCACGCATTCCTACCTAACCGTTTGTCCCTACAATAACCATTTCCTAAGACTCGTGTATCCATTCAGAGCTGCTTTGGGGATGTTTCATACCAACAGTGTGTCAGGTTGTACCTCCTGTACTGTTATTGCACATGTTGGAGGACGTTTCTTCACAATTTGGGATGTGTTGGACAGATCGTGCGGCAATTTGCAACTATTTTAGAGACATTTGTTTGGTAGCAGAAACCCGTTCCTGCCTAACTACCAATTCAATTCATACCACCTTTGGACGTTTCATACCTACCATAAGTCATCTTGACGGTGCAAGGTTTTTTAAGTCTGTAGAAGATTTGACAGCCAAGGTCTTAAAGCAATTTTGTAAAATCTGTTCAAGAAAATGCAGTGATGAGATTCTAATCAGCCTGATATGCAGGCAGAAGGTTATTTAGTTATTTTGACTTCCTCATTGATCGTAAAATCCGATGTCAGAAGAGTCAACCGACTCAAACACGAGTCAGAACCTCAATCAATGACAAGTAAATAGAACCTCTTTAATTCTCTTTCCATATAATCTTACACGTTTTCACGTAGTCCATGAATATAAAATAGTTTCTAAGGACACAAACTTGAGGTTGGTTCGAACAAAATCAGCCTGATTATAAGCCAGCCCTTTGTTTCATACACAGTCTGGACCCTCGGCTATCAATAAACGATTGCTTTGTGGAGAGCTCTGTAAGTTTTAAACAACTGGATCTGATTTTTCCCAATCGCTAACATTTGGTTATGACATATGTAAACTGCAAGCTCAGTGAAGCTCACTGGAAACTGCGTTCAGTGACCCAGGCATCTACATCTGGTCACATCGCTTGCAGTTAAACCCGATCCTGACTCAGCAGCACTGACGACTAGCTATTTGTCTTAATGTTGGAGTTTATAGTAATGAAGCTGTTTGGTTTTTGTTCTAAATGTGTCTAAGACTAAATTTGACATGAAAGCTTCTTTCATGTCAAATCAAACCTGTGAAATTATAATTATTATTTTTTTTTCAGGATTACTGATAACGGACAGAAACTGCACAAACTGATTTTATTAAACGCTAAAGCAGCTGAAACCGTTTTTACAAAATTCATCATAGGTCGGTATGTACACAGATGTGAAATAAATAATTTTATGAAACAAATTTGTGGAATTAACTTGATGTTTAAAGGAAACAAAGTGTTGCGGTCATAATTTACAGTTCAATAAGGTCAGCGCGTCCAGTCGACCACAGACGGTTGACCTTCACCGTTCGCAGAACGCGTTTCTGTGCCTGAGCCTGTCAAACCGAATGGGATAATGTTATTCTAGTCTCATGTGACTTGGTCACAGGGGGAGCACCGGGTTCATAGCAGTGTGGACCCTGACCCCGACCGAGGTGTGAAGTGCTTCGTCAAGTAAAGGAAAAAGACAAAACTCCACACACACGCACACAAACTCCAGAACACCAAACGCCTTCAGCTGACAGACTGTGACTTGTGGTTCAAACTCGCATGCTTGTTCAGAACCCCTCACCTGGATCCTGGTTCATTTCCCCGGGGCAGATCAGTGAAAGTGCATGCAACTGTGACAGGCGACCCAGTTCACTGAGGTTTTCTCACCTTTCACTCACCCTGTGCCAGCCCTGCTTTCATTGGGGTAGCATCTGGAGAGCATAACTTGTTTGGCTTTGTCACTTTAGCTACGTATCGTCAAACTCTGGGATATGCAGCGGCTCTGTCTCCACGTCCCTGTTATAATTCTAACTTTTCAAGACCGTGACAAATCGCTTGAAACTTTTTTTTTTGCCAACCTAATTGTTGGGATTTTAAATTTCATGCTAATTGGCTAATGATTGCCCTGTCTATGTATGCAATGGACTAGTTTGATAATATGAAGTTTACTGGAAATGGCTTGTGCTGTAACCAACCATTCTCCACCGCAAACAGAAAACATTAGCGAGGCAGCTGTTAATGTTAATTCAATATGTGGTCAACATGGACTGAATGGCTTTATTCACTTTCTCCGTAGCCATTGCTAAAACTACAGGATGACTTCAACTCTAAAGCACAGCAGAAAATCAACATCATTCTCGACTTCTTCTGTTCACTCATAGTCCCAGTAGAAAATGGAGGAATCCAGTTCAATGGGAGAAAGCCCAGGCAGAGCACTCAAGGGAGATGAGAATCAACCAGATTAGACAGAATGCCTACGGCCAGGCTAATTTTCCCCAGTTGGTGGTGGTCTGTGCTGTAACTGTACTTCCTCCATATTTCAGACTTAATGAATTCAGGAGAGTGTTTTCATGAGTAGAATATAACTTGTACCGGCTGGAAATTACTTTACAGACGTGTTAGGCTCTCTGACCAGTTTCACTCTTGTGTCTAAATTAGTTTTGGAAAGGCTTCTGGTTTTGATTCCTGTCATTGAGCAATGAGTTTGTTTATTTTTAGACTTCTTTTAACTGACTCCTTAATGCAATAAGATTTTGATGCTCTGTAACGTCATATTGGGCTAACGGATGGAAATGTCAAGAAAATCGATCTAGAACAGCTAAACTCTATTTCAGGTTTATCAGATTCATTAAAGCCCAATAAATATGTGTGCTCTTGTGCAACCAGGATATTGGACTGTTTGTTAGTCTTTAAAAATATTTTTCCTCTAACATTTTGTTGAAATGTACAAAAAATGGGAAAGTTTGGAAATTATTCTTCATGGCTGGAATTTTTTTAGGGGGGAAAAACTTCAATTTTAACAGTGTGTGTGTCCACTATAAGGGTCTTCTTTAGCTGTAAGATAAAGCAGAGATTTGTTATTTTGTGGAGCTCAGGATTTTTGCTCATATAACACATTTACACCTCAGCTGTGCACATTATGACAGGATGCTTTTGCTAGCAAAAATAAAATCTGACAAAATAAGTTTACTGCTTCAGGAATGCGCAACACTTTGTCTGGTCTTATTTGTTCATGTCAATTGGAAGGAAATCATCTCTTTGGGGGTTTAATGGAAGGAACTTGTGCACATTATTTAATCTGACAGATAATTGATCAAAGTTGTTTTACTCAGTAAGACTGTTGACACTAAAGTAGAGAGTTTGTTGCTCTAGCAACATCAACATCCACGTGCGAAGCCTCAGAGCGTTTCCTCCATGATGTCATAAAGGATTTTAAACCTAGTTTTATTGCCTGGACAGGAGGAAGACTAGTAGTGTCCCAGCTCCAGGACCTCAAGCAGGTGCATGACCACCTCTGTCCAGGGAGAGGTGCTCCTTCCCCGAGGGAATCTTTTGTGCTGGATATTCTCGATGTCGTGCGGCTCAAAGTCCCGTGACGTGCTGAGCCGAGAAGGAAACGCTTTGGGAAACAACAGTCTCTGAATCACGTCCAGAGGCAGGTTAGGGGCGAGGTGAGGCACCGTGTCCCACTTGGTCATGTAGTGAAGCCTCTGGGTGATGCTGTCCTTCAACAAGACGACATCGTCCCTGAGGTCCGGGTCTGTGGAGGGTTTCTCTGAGTGGAGGCCAAAGACGGTCCAGGGACTGTCGAGTAAGCAGGGCCGCTGTGCTTTGGAGTCGTCCTGCTTCCCCTGCATGCGTTTGCACTGTCCCTTGGTAGGTTTGGGTTGCCTCTTGCTCTGCTCTGACAAGCTGCACTTACGGTGGTATTTGGACGGCTTGGATCTGGGCGTGAGCGTATTGAGCGGAGACAAGCCTCTCTTCTTTGCCCACTCTTCAACAAAGGCCTGCTGAAGCAAAAATGGAGAAACAGCGTCTGGAACAGTTTGACTGTGGACTTAAAGCAACATCCAAACATTTAACTATACAAACTACTAAATGGTTTACGCTAAACATGGGAAATGATCTTGATATATCATGTAATTATATCATTATTAACGTCAATATTGTTATTAATACAACTATTAGTAATACTCGTACCTACAGGGGTATTGAAAGAACATCTTTGAATTTACTGCATTAATAAATAACCTGAGAGTGGAATGAAGATATTTTGCTACAACACTGATAAATAGGAAGATATTATAACTGTGACGTATTGGAGAAGGGTTGGGTTTTAACTGCTACCCAATCCTTTGAATGTTTTTTTATTTTATTAATGTCATTTTATTTGTGATATATAACGTTCGGTAAAGAACACAAACAGCCTTACAAAGGAAATCCCCCTGAACGTCGTTACATTTGATCAAGTTACACGTTAAAACTTCAATCTTCTCTTGGTTCTCCGTTGTAGAAAATCATCCCCACATCAAAACGCTGCTGTCACCTAAAAGTTCTGCTTTAATTGTTGGCCTCCTTCGAGCAGAGCAACCTCCTCCTTGTGTTTGTTGAGTCCTCGTACATGACTCATGGAAAACTGCAAGTAGAGCATTGTCGTGTTTCACTCTTCCATAATGTGACGAACATTAAGGGTTGCCCTAGCAACAGGTTCTCCCAGCTGAGCTGTGAATTTCTGCATCTTCATTTGTACTTGTTAAGCGGCCAAAATGTGTAAAAGTTCAAGGGACGTGAATACTTTTGCAAGGGTTTTTAGAAATTTCAAGTACGGGAGTCGAGAAACTGAAGCCGGCGTTTTCGTCGTTAATTCTACGTTAATGTTTTGCAGTGTATATGTCAAGCGCTCACCTTCATATCCAGATTTTTCTGCTTGACCAGCTCTATGAGATCTCTGTATAACATCTGAGCCAACTTTATCTCCTCCATTTCGTCCCTCTTTTGGTAATACCACAAGGAGTGCTTCAAGTACCTGAAAACACAGAAGAATCAGTTTGAATCAGTCCGACTAAAGACTGTTTGAGGTGCTTTCGGTCCGGCGTTGTCTTTAGCTGGATACCGAGCTATCTTCCTGTGGTTCCAGATGTGCGCCATGTCCAGAGGCGTCAGTCCCATTTTGTCCTTTGCCAAAATATCCGCTCCGGCCTTCACAAGCACTTCTGTGCAGTTTAAGAGGCCCCTGGTGGCGGCAATGTGCAGCGGGGTTTCCCCTGAATTTGATCTACTACCATGGGACAAAAAACAAAACAAAACAAAAAAAGAAACATTTCTTTTTAAAATCCATACTTTGCTTTTTTTAAATGAATCAATTTGTTTTTCAGTCAATAGTTCTTCTTAAATCCAGTTGGATATATATATATATATATATATATATATATATATATATATATATATATATATATATATATATATATATATAAATGCAGCTGAATTAAATACCAACATAAAGAGAATATTTCTGTAAGAAGGGGCCCCTACGCATTGATGTCAGCTCCTTGCTCCATCAGGTATTTTAAAATGGTGTACGTGTCGGACAACCGTTGCGAGGACAGAACGGCGTGCAGGGGCCGGTGACCTTTAGAATCACTGAGGTTGACCCACAACGGACTGGCCTCTATTATGAGCTGGACAGTCTGCAGTTCACCATACAGGCAAGCTACATGGAGGGCTGGGAGTTTCTCCTGGACAGAGTGAAAAAGCATTTTTATAATCCAGCTTTAAGCAGACAGTGATCCCTGTTATTTCTGTTTTATAGCACTCGGTAGTCTCGGTGCCACTAAAAACTATTTTTTATTTGATTGCACCGATAGTTCAGTTTTACAGGGTTCCGGCACATTCTTATGTCAAAAGGTCAAAAATGTTTTCTAAAGTCAGTGTTCAGTTTGTCTTGGGCAAGTTTTTAAGTATTAAAACAAAAATGTTGTCCTTATGGGTGACAGTTTTATGGCTGTAAATATAAACCCTGCAAAAAAATAAAAACATAGACTGAGATGAACTAATAGACAGTTGGATGGAGGAACATCGTAATGGATGGATAGATGTATGGATGCTTTGACTCTTGGTTAAAATGGTCAAAAAATACATGAATGAATGAATGAATAAAAAAATGGATGAATGATGTTAGAAAAATCAGTCTTATGAATGGAGGTGTAATTGGATAAAAATGGATGGATGCATAGAGAGATAAATAAATTCTAAAGAAAATCATCTAATGTCTCTTTCCATTTTTATACAAACATGTAAAATATTTAAATGAAATTTCAAATCTTTTTTTCCCACTTTACTCACAAGTAGAAATAGAGGAAGGCGTTTAGCACACTTTTTTTTTTTAAATAAATGCCAGATATTCTCTTGTTAAATAATAAAAACCCTATGGGATTTTGTGTAATAATAACCATCATCTGCACATGTTTGTTTATTGAAACGAATCAAACATGGCGTCAGCAGAATTATTCAGCAGGTTCTGATTTTGTTTCCAGTCTGACCTCACCTCCACCAGCAGCTCAAAGCTGTCAGGATCAACATCTGGCAGTACAGGCCCACGAAATGACGCTTTACGGGAACTCTTCCTGCGAGGCAAAACCACAATGACAGAGATGTAGAACCTTAGAAGTGAAGCTAGTAGGGAGGATTTTTATTTCATTTGCCAACATAACCAAATATCACCTCTTTTTTATTATATGCGTAACGTGATATAGTTTAGTACGGAACTGCCAGCGTTTAGAGATTACGCATATGGAAAAAATTCTGACCTAAGGCTTCAGCACGACCTAAAAACTTCAAAAGTTTATTTGTGTTTTTTTTTTTAAGTTGTTTACCTGCTCTTACCTCGTCCGCGGCTTCGTTTCCTGCTTGTGTTAGAGAGCTCCATGGTTGCCACGGAAACGAACGCTTGTTGTAAACTGCTAAAAAAAAAAACTGCGTGCGGAGGCTGTCCTTCAGGTAAAAGAAAAACAGAGTTACACCGCGCTGTAACGTGATCGTTTCAACAGTATTTCTCACGTTTGAACAATATAATATGGCGTTATTACGGTATTGTGACGTTTTATTTATTTTTTAAATACAATTTCTTGTTTGTAAAAACATGTCGAAAATATGTTTTCTGCGCAAACTACAGAAAATACAGCATATTAATATTGAAAATTGCTTGTCATTTTAGGTACAAATTCTACCTAAAGTGATAAAAAAAAGACAGATAAAGAGAGCTGATGTCTGATTTTAATTTAAACAACATAAACATCCTTTTTTTAAAATCCTTTTTTTAATTACCAGTAAATTGAATCCACATGTCTATTCGGGAACCACATGCAGCTTAGGGCTTTGTGTGAAGGATGACAGAGAGATGGATACATTCTGTCTTCATCGCCTGTGTCCCACATACAGACTACATCCTCCTGATGTGCTCATATTGATGGTGCATCAGCAGTTACCCACTTGGTCTTGGCCTTTGGTAAAACAGATCAATCCTGCCAATGCCGTGGAGACGTCAGAAGGATCCCAAAGGCTGCAGGCTGCATGTGAATCTGATGTGCTGTGGGACAGCTGTATTCTCCCCTGGGCAAGGCGAATCGATTCTCACACCAGGCAGTAGGCCCACCTTGTTTGCAGCTATTGACCATTTGACCTATCGGCGAACTAGACGTGGCGGACAGCACCTTTGTCAAGAAAAAAAAATGTCGAGATTGTAACACTGTAGTTAAAATTTTGGAACTGTATCTCGCCGCTCTCCATACTATGCAGCATCTCAAACACTGGTTTGATTATTGTAATGCCATTAAGAATTTTTCCACTGATTATTGGATCTAAATCATTTTCGACACATCATTTTCATTCTAAAATGTAAATAACATATTTTTTTGTGATTCTCCTTGACATTCTTATGTCATACCTGTAATTTCCTATTGGAAACAAATGTTTTGGTTTATTAGGATTATTGTTAGTTAATATCTGCCTGAGGTGTGAATAATTTTGGGCTCAACTGTAACTACATGACAACATAAAAGAAATATTAAACGTCGCTTTCAAAAATATCTTTCTGAGAAAGTTAAGCATTTTAAGCAGTCCACTATCAAAAAACTGTAAAATCAAAACATTTTAATGGATGGAAATCAGTACATAACTTGGTGATTTGAATATTTAGAAATAATATATTAATGTTGTATGATTTTTAAAATGTCTATAATGTCTATATAATGTCTATAAGTATTCAAATAATGAATTTCCTCATAAAGTATGCTGTGACTTGTTAGTTTGCAACAGACAAACCAAAAAAAAGGCCATCCAAGTTCATATCTACGATGTTTTCTTCCTGACTTTTCGAATTAAATAGATCACAGAAACATTTGCCTTCAGTGATTATCCTTGAAAAAGAGCCACAAATGACAAACACCTCAGGCAGATCCTGGAAATGACGGCGTTGAGAACTTTCAAATATCAATGTCACAACTTCCGTCTCCCCTGAAGTTTGTTATAAAACTCCAATCTATCGCTTACCGCCGACTTGCCTTTTTTTTCCAAAGCTTTCAGCCACATTTAACAAGTTAGTAAACTTAATAATTTATGACTCAGTCATCATGTATCACTTTAAATTTCCACTTTGAGCTCTCAAGACCTTTAATCAATGTCCCCACTCTCTCTAGCTGGCCTAAAACTCATATTTGATTCATTTCTTTAATAAGCAACTTCGCCTTTCACTCCCCATCATTCTCCGGGTCCGGTGCGGGGTCAAGGACGGGCCATGAACCCGTGGCTTCGTGCTACGAGCCTGTGTCCCCCGCGGGGCCGCCGCCTTTGTCGTTACCCGGCCTTGTAGCCCGATGACGCAGATCCGCGTGTGCGGGGAGAGAGGGAGCGCGAGAGGCGCTTGTGTTTATGTGCGGCGCCAGCGGTGTGTACGAAACCCTTGTGTGTGCATGCCAGAGTGTATCACTTAATGATACAGTAGGAGGGCAGCATAGCCCCGCTGTGACCTAAGATACTTCCCTTGACCTCGGTCGCGTCCCGGGAGAGGAGCCGGGGACTCCTTGATGCAGAGCTCTTTTCTTGTTTGACTTTCAGGACAAGTCCCTCGATGGACACCAGTCAGTGTGACCTCTTCCTCTAGTTCAGACGGTGATGGTGTGCTTGACAGTCAAAGTCATGACACATATCCTTTAAAATGTACATTTATTCCTTAGTTACACAACTAAAGGTTACTTTCTTTTGTTGTTTTTAATTGTACACAGTGCTTCTAACAACACAGTGAAGCCGGCACATATGTGTTGCGTGAGCATGCATTAGCTACAATTCATCCAGTTGGTGCGTCGCCGATTCCCTACTGGCTATTCAGAGTGGTCTAAACCTGCTTAGGAAGAGCATGGAAATGAGATAATATCCCCGCAGCCTTACGGCAAGCACTCTTATTGGTCCCTTAAATCATCCACTCACACTCTGTCTGTTTCTATTGGCTTTACAAAATCAGGTCCTGCTCTGCAAAGCAGCCCAATAGACCAACTACCGGCTCACACAGAGGGATTGGAAGTATGATTAACCTGCTTAGAGTAATCTTATGTCTCCAGTCTGTGCTATATGTTTACTATTATTTTTTTTATAAAGGTTTTGGGCGTGTCTTAGCTGCTTTAATGGAGGATTGCTCTGATAAATTGGACTTTATGTGATAAAAAATAACATTTACATAGCCACAACATGGGATTATAGTTTTATGTTGCTGTTATGTAGTGATTAGAAAACAAGCGTGTTCAGACTGGAACATGATTGTGTTTTCAAACTGGAAAATATCAAATAAAAATATTTTGGTAAAAAAAAAAAAAATTTACATATTTGGCACATATGAAGTTAACCCTAAAATGTTTCATTGATCTAAAATTATTTTTTGTTCAACCATATGCTTGTCCCTGATTGGAAATGAGAAAATTATCTCTCAAAAAAGTCATAAAACAATGTGAAATAAGTTTATACAAAAATTTAAAAAAGAAGTTTACAACCTCCTTTTATTCCTCACCAGCTTTTTTGACGTTTCCGCTGTTTGTTTTGAGGATTAATCTCTTGGTGATAAGATGATACACTCTGGAAAAGTTAAATATTTACTTTGAACCTAAATCTGCCATAATATTGAACTTAACTGTAATAGGCTTAAAACCACAGCCTATTGGGTCCTACGCTCACTGATTATTTAATTATGTCTGCCTGTTTAATTGTGGCTCAGCCAATCACATGGCAGAAACCCAATGCATTTAGTGGCATAAACATGCTGAAGACATCTTGAAAAAGTTAAAACCACGTTTTAGGGGGAATGATGAACGACACCTTGAGCCAGGAAGCAGACAGAAAACCACACCGGGAGCCAATCCGGACAGATTGGCTTATGATAATGACGGACTAACTCCAGTATTGGCATGCTGAATCTAATCAGGACAATGACTTCTTATTGCCAGATTCAAACAGATTTTCTCAATATCCAATTAGGACCCAGCTAAGACATACCAGGCATTCACACCAACCCTGTTTGGCCCACTTGAATCAAACTAGGGTTTGATTCAAGTGTGAATGCGCTATCGAACTCTGATATGGACCGAAAAAGCAAACTAAAAAACCTAGTTTGATTAAAGTGAAATCTGGTGCAGTTCAAGTGCATATGTGAACGCCAAGCAGAGCGGAGAATAGATGGCTCCAAAAGCAGGAAGCGTACTATGGCGCGAAGGGCATTCTGGGTAAATACAACCAAAACAAATGCAAGAGCGGTCTTTTACCAAAGACGAAAGAGAAATCCTAAAATCTGACACTACTCCATTTTTGTTTACATTTGTGAAGAAGGAAGTTGCGCTCATGCCTTCTCCAGAGGTTTTTGTGTCTTTTCCGTCGTTCTTTCTTGGTGCAGCGCCACCGCAGGCGAGGAGGGGAACAGGTTTTTCAAAGCACAAACAATTGTTACTTTGAAAATTTAACAATTGTTGCAATTTTGATCGCCGAACGATCAGATGTGAAAACATCTTCACATAGGGTTGTTTTCCCACTCATTGCATGCATACGTTCGTATTTAGACGATCTAAGGGTTTCCATTAAGGAAAACAACAACAAAAAAACTCTGTAAGCTCAGAGCTACTTTCCCATCTGAGCAAAATCATTACGGGACCCACATACACACAGGTTTTTGTATGTATAATTTCTTCTTGGACAAAAATAAGCTTTGAAAACCTGACAATTGTCAAGATGAGAATATTTTGGAAATGGAAGAGCAGGAGAGTGAGCAGGGAGAAGTGAAGATGAGTGCTACTGTACGTTCCAGTACACCTTCATATTCTTACATATTTGATGATCCACCTTACAAGGACCTGTGCCCCCGAACCCTCGGAGCTGCTGCTTCTGTAAGTGCGCTCATGTCCTCACTTCACCCCTCCCCTCTTTACTCTTCATCCCCTGCCTACTTCCTGCCTCCCACTCCTCCTCACTTTTGCTCCTCCTCTCTCCGCTTTCCTCCTCCTCCTCTTTCTCCCCATCTCTCTCTCACTGCCTCATGCTTGGCCAGGCGGCAGCGCACTAATGCACCATGGCACATTCTGCAGCTCCAAGTCACAATGCGACTCGGCTTTACGCAGTGACCGAACGGCGACCTCCCTCAGCATCGCCGCGCACAGGCGTTGTGCTGCAGCAGAGCCCGTTCAGGGAGAGGATGGGAGCTGCGAGCGAGGGAGCACAGGGTCAGGAGAGGAGAGGAAACGAGGGCAGGAACCTGACACTCGGATATCAGATCAAACGACAGGAAGATGAATAATTAGTAACAGTTAAAGGCCGAATCCACCCCGTCCGCATCACGGAGACATTTCTTGTTCTTCCTGTGACCTGCTAGGGTCAAACTAGAGACGATAAAACGCT